TTTTGCTGATCGATTATAAAGATCGTGGTGTGACTATAACGGGACAGTACTACTCTTCTTTATTAGATAGATTGAAAGAAGCTATCAAGGAAAAAAGAAGAGGAAAGCTGTCAAAAGGTGTGCTCCTTTTGCACGACAACGCAACAGTCCACACGTGTCATGTTGCGACGGCTGCCATTCACCGATGCGGATTCGAAAAATTAAACACCCACCTTACAGTCCAGACTTAGCCCCTAGCGACTATTATTTGTTTCCAAAAATGAAAAAAGAGCTGCGTGGAAAAAAAATTGGCGATGATGAAGAAGTCAAGTCCGCAATTTCGGCCTATTTTGATAGCCAAGACAAATCATTTTTTTTTCGATGGTATAAACAAATTATTTGAGAGATCTGAAAAATGTATTAAGGTTAAGGGAGAATATATTGAAAAGGAAAAATAGTTTCGTGTTAAATTTCAACCCCCTTCCCGCTCATTCCGCGAACTTTTTGACCTCCCCTCGTATGAATTGTATCCCAACGATCTGTCTAATTATAAAAGCGGAGCTTTTAAAGATATAAAAGAACATACAGAATACTCTTTAGGTAAAATTGGTTACGTAACGTTGGACTTAACGAATGTAGACAAGCAAAGATTCTACAAGATGTGAAGTTTGGATTAAAAATTAAACGTCCTGAAAATGCTGCTATCGTTCAAAGATTCACCGTGTTAATTAATAGTGATTTTCTAATGCTTCAATTGCGTTAATATTTCACAGACAACATTATCAATCTGATTTATTAATAAATATAGTGTCTACGTCTTTGGCTATCCATACAACAACTCGCTCAAGCTTGGATTCTAACCCTCGCAGATTTTTCAACATTCACCAGGACTCTATTGCAAGCCGCCTGTATCTTGACCAGGTTTTCTGTGGTTTTTCTGGTCACTGTGCTCCGGACCAGGCATAGGCGAATCCCTGTACAGTTAAAATATTGAATGGCCACAGTTTCTATTGATTTGTTCAAATTAATATGTAGATTTATATAATAAAAGTGAAGATAATTAATGTATAATGTTTAAGCGTTGAGACGTATGGAGAGAATAATAGACTTTTCACTTGTTCAAGGAATAATTTATTGAAAATATTTACAGTTATTTATACTAGCAAATTGATTACATATAGAATATGAATAACCAGCACATTAAAACAGGCGTTTTGATTGGTCGCCGCGCATACGGTTTCGTCTTTAATGCGCATGCGTTTAATCGGTATCACTGCGCATGCGTTAACCGTGGTTATATCTGTCACTCCAGCGAGCGCATCGGTCTTTTGGATCGCGCGCGCCGGGGAGTGACAACATCTTGAAAACGCTGCTAACTGAAGAAAAAGAAGACTACGTCGTGGCGAGGGGCCGGCATCGTGTCATCAGTGTGTTCCTGTTTCAATGATGAAAGCGTCTCCAAATCCAGCGGCGAGAACGTCTTTATAAATACACTATTATTATTAATATGTGTACCTGTTTCAACGATGAAAACGTCACCAAATCCAGCGATGTGAACGTCTTTATAAATATACTATTGTTATTAATATGTGCTTCCGTTTCAACGATGAAAGCGTCGACAAATCCATCAACGAGAACGTCTTTATAAATAAATAAACTATTGTTATTACTTCGTGTACGTGCTGCTACAGTAATCCCCCTCAAGTGAAACGTACCGGCAACTTGATGGAGCGGCCTAGTCGAGTTGATATACGAGTAGGCTGTGACGTCATGTTGTTCGTATCAGCTGATTTTTCAATTGGTAAGGTTTTGATGGTAACTCTGGTATCATTTGTAAAGGTTTTCTTGGTTTGAAGTAAATCTGAATTTTCGGTATTTAACACATATGCAGGCTTCAGTCGATCAATTGAGATGCATGTTTGACGATCGGGTAATTGAATTGTAAAAACTTTATCTGTTCTGTTTACAACTCGAAAGGGGCCTTCATAGGGTGTTTGAAGCGGTGATTTCACTGCGTCGACTCGAATAAACACGTACGGACATGTTCGTAGGTCTTGATGAACGAAAATGTGTTTATTGTTTCGTTGCGAGTTCGGTAATGGTTTATATTTCTGTATATTTTCTCGTAATTTTTCGACGTAATTATAATTTAATGATGCTGAGTCTGTTGTTTTATTTGTGTCTAGGAAATCACCTGGGAGTCTTAAGTTATAGCCGTAGGTAAGTTCGGCTGCGCTTACGTTGTTATCGGTGCGTAAGACGGCTCTTAACCCGAGTAGTATAGTAGGTAACTCATTGATCCATGACGTTGTATCGGATAGTTTGGCGCGTAATGCGTTCTTCAATGAACGATGCCATCGTTCAATCATTCCGTTGCTTTGTGGATGATAAGGCGTAGTTCGTATTCTTTGTATTCCGAGTATTTTCATTAAGTTTTTAAATATTTGACTTTCAAACTGTCGGCCTTGATCACTTGTTATAGTAGCGGGGCATCCGAAATTACATTTCGCGGGGTTTATAGTGATGCCGTGCTCTTGAAATCGTGTGAGTACAGTTCGGAGGTGTTCTCGATGTTCAGTTTCGTTGGCTGAAGCTATCAAAACGTCATCAATGAAAGGGAATACGTAATCGAGTCCTCGGAGCACTTCGTGAATATATCGCTGAAAAGTTTGTCCGGCATTCTTCAGACCGGGACACATTCGAGGGAATTCGAATAAACCCATTGGTGTTATGATTGCTGTCTTCTCAATGTCTTCGGCGCGGACCTCAAGTTGTTGGTAAGCGCGGTTGAGATCGGCGGTTGAAAATATGGTTTTACCTGAGAGATGATGTGTGAAGTCCTTGACTCGCGGTACTGGGTAGCGATCGGGTTTCGTTATCGCGTTGAGTCGTCGATAGTCACCGCACACTCTTATATCCCCATTCTTTTTAGGTACAATATGAAGTGGCGATGACCATGCGCTTTTACTAGGACGACAGAGTCCTTGTTGCATCATATTCTCAAATTCTTTCTTAACGGTTTCGTAACGATGCGGCGGTATAGGTCGTGCTCGGCAGTGGATCGGAGGTCCCGTAGTTTCGATATAATGTTCGACGTTGATTTTAGTACCCAGCTTCATTGCGGTAAGTCGTGTTATGCCGGGGAATTCAGCGAGTATGTCGTGGTACGCGTCGCTTATGTCGATGCTTCTTATTGTGGGTGTAGTGGTTGATTTAATCGGCACGTTTACTCGTAAATTCGTTACGGCGTCGATTAATCTTCGATTCTTGATATCAACGATGAGTTGGTGATAGTTTAAAAAATCGGCTCCTAATATAGGCTTCGATACATCGGCAACTATAAATTTCCACTTGTACGGTCGTCGTAGATTTATATCGAGTTCGAGCGTTCGTTCTCCATACGTTGATATTACCGTGTTGTTGGCGGCATATAATTTGAAAGGTAGCGGCGTCGATTTCTGGCCTGGTTTTCGAGGTAGTACGGAGATATTGGCTCCCGTGTCTACTAAGAAAGAGTAGTTCGTTTTTTTTATCGGTAACGAACAGGCGGTATGATTTCTGAACGCCGGATTCCGCCTCTGCCAACGTTCGGTCTAGTTTTCCGACTTCGTGTGGTCTTTAGTATAACTACACGGCGTAGTACACCGTCGGGCTTGACTACCGAAGCGGCGGTGATAGTAACACAGTGGAGATGGCGAATTGTGACGACTGCGATGTGTTGACGATCTGCGTTGGCGGCTTCGGGAGTGATCTCTCCGATGTTTGAAGTTGTTGTATGACGGTCGTGCCTTTAATTCAGCTACTTCGAGTGATAGCTTCCTCACTGCATTAATAAGTAATTGGTTGGCGGCGGCTTGAGAGCTGGCGAGAGCTTGAGGTGGCTGGGTTTCCATATTTGAATGTTTTCGGGCAGGGATTCGTCCGGATTCCTTTTCTTCGGAGGTTTCTTGTTGTTCAGTCGAGGGTCACCACTTTAAGCGTTGAGACGTATGGAGAGAATAATAGACTTTTCACTTGTTCAAGGAATAATTTATTGAAAATATTTACAGTTATTTATACTAGCAAATTGATTACATATAGAATATGAATAACCAGCACATTAAAACAGGCGTTTTGATTGGTCGCCGCGCATACGGTTTCGTCTTTAATGCGCATGCGTTTAATCGGTATCACTGCGCATGCGTTAACCGTGGTTATATCTGTCACTCCAGCGAGCGCATCGGTCTTTTGGATCGCGCGCGCCGGGGAGTGACAACATCTTGAAAACGCTGCTAACTGAAGAAAAAGAAGACTACGTCGTGGCGAGGGGCCGGCATCGTGTCATCAGTGTGTTCCTGTTTCAATGATGAAAGCGTCTCCAAATCCAGCGGCGAGAACGTCTTTATAAATACACTATTATTATTAATATGTGTACCTGTTTCAACGATGAAAACGTCACCAAATCCAGCGATGTGAACGTCTTTATAAATATACTATTGTTATTAATATGTGCTTCCGTTTCAACGATGAAAGCGTCGACAAATCCATCAACGAGAACGTCTTTATAAATAAATAAACTATTGTTATTACTTCGTGTACGTGCTGCTACAAATGTAATATTAATATAATAAAATAAATATTTTGACGCATAATAATGACTTCTTGTTAAATAACATTTCCTTGATTAAAAAAATCAATTTAAGAGCATAGGAAGTAACATAGTTTGAATTCTTTTCAATACTTCAATGTTTGATTACTTGTTAGAATCCGATTTTTGATAAACTTTTAAGATGATGAGTCTCTTTTACTAGTTAACTTATTTTAAACAAATCGAAATTGCTATGATCAGTTTACAAGCAAGGATATATACATACAAAAAACTATCTTTATTTATGAGTTTCTTAGTTAAATCTATTTTAATTCGATTATAAATTGTCTTATAAAAATTTCATTGTTATAAATTCTTAAGAAATCTGTCAAACCATAGTTATTATTATTAATATTATCAAATATAGATATAGTACTCACAATATATTATTATGTTAGTTTTCTACTTCATGTACTTGGAGGTTGCCTTGATAGGTATTGTTTTCTAGATGTACATTATTTCCAACTACGTAATGGTTTTGTTCAGGTCCTTTGAATTCATTATTATCCATTACGATTCTCTTTCCAGTTATGTTATAAGCATATCCGTGACCGGGAAAAATATTGTTCTTCAGAATAATTACCGAAGCTTTCATAATACATGGGTTGTCCGCTGCTATAATGTTGAGATGACTCAGTTGAATGGTATCTTCCGCCAATGAATATTTTTTCAAGTCAGAGCAGTTTAGATATTGAATGATTTCACGTGGAGGCGCCTTCGGTGCATTTCTGTTGTTATCTATAGGATTACCTGCTGAATAAACGCAAAAAATTCCAATATTAGTTATATTTCATAACAAAATGATGAAAAAAAATATATTTTTGATTGCTAATACAATGAACAGGAATAAAATACAATTTGCTGAGTATCTCCGTCAATATCTCGGAAAAAATATAATAAATTCAGAATGAGTTATTTGTTGGGTTTAATATCGTTTGCGTATCTATATCTATGTAAATAAGGTTCGTTTACAACACATACGCAGCATCTTTCTTTTCTTGGTAGACAATGGCGCGAAAGACTTAAAAGTATGTGTATTTTATTTCAATCAATTTTATTATAGAAAATTAGACTATGAGGCGTGCGCTTTTGGATTTTTCAAACTTTGTTTGATAAATAATGAAAAAAAAAAAACAATTTACCTTCATCGATCGAGCTGTGTCGATCCATTCTGCAGTGTAGATTCATCTTCTACCGCTCGAAGCGCTAAAAAAATAGCATGATAATAAAATGAGTCTTATTGCTGACTTTCAGAGAAACAATAAAGAAAGAAGAATATATTTTTGATTACTAATGCAAGAAAAAAAAAAGAAATTTACACGGCATTCATTTTGCCGTGTAAACTTATTCTACATAGCCGAAATATTGAAAAATAACTATATAATTTCATAATGAGTTATGTTACTGACTTTTAAAGAAAAAATGAATAAAGAATATATTTTTGTTAACAAATACAACAAGAGGAAAATATTTTTTAAAAACAATTATTACTTACATGCGTTCTGGACGAGCGTAACGAGCACAACAATAACTACTAGTTTCCTGAACATCTTCCCAATGCTCCTGAAACTGGAATGCGCTCCCCATCCCGGTGGATCGGCTTTTATATGATTTTTTTAGTATAATATTTACGTCATGTTCACATGAACTGTAAACAATTGTTAATTATGGATTCAAATGTTCGACCACAATTGATAACAACTTTTAACCCCAATTTCCTGTGGGTTTTCCTACAAAAATATTTTGCATGATCATGACAGGAAGCATTAGATAATAAAACTTACAATCGAACGATTGTTTAATATTATAATAATATAAATATTATAATAATATAACACTTATAATATACGTTGTTAAGACCTTCATTGTGAAGCGTCTATTATCAATGGCGACAAGTTTTGAATTAACCTTTATTCAATAGCCAAACCGGCTTGTATAGCAACCTTACAAAGCTGACGACGTATTAATAGACATCTACGTCATTTTTGTGTGGCTACTATTAGATGTAAATAACGTTGCTATGGAATTTAATTTTTTAATAGTTGAATTTAAAACATAAATTCCTGCATATTAATGGTTCTCAGTAATCTTAAACTGTTTGTTTCTGATGTAAGATATGCTTCTTACTAGTTTTTCTACTAAAATTTTTTCAGGAAAAATAATCGATCTATTCAGTATAGTAAACAAACGCTGTTGATTCGCTCGCACTTTTATTTCAATTATGATTTGTAACAGAAAAAAAGAATTATTTGAACTGAATAAGATTTATTTGAGCCAAAGATATCGTATACTTGGATATGGCCAAATAAATATTTATTTGTGAGAAATATACGATATATTTGAGCTATTTAATTGCGACAAATAAGTGATTTATTTGTTGTCAAGATATGATTTCTTTGTGGTAAATAAATGATAGTTGACGCAAATAATGCATATTTTAAAATATTAAAAATTAATTGTACATATTTTTAGGTTATTATAGCACTACTATAGAATAAAAAAATTATAATTTTAAAATTTATTTTATTAGAACAGAAATACAATTGAAAATTCAAATCACCTTTAGAAATAATACGGTTGCCTTCAGCTGTAACATGCACTTTTATTAAACGAAGACAATTATTAATATTGAAAATTAAAATTTGTTCAGTTGTATTTTTATCAGGTAATATTACTACTCATCGTTTTAAATGATCATTTAAACCGACAGTTAAACAATTAATTAACAATTGTTCCATCGTTTCGATCACAATTATGAATTATTTAAAATTGAAAATTCATACAATAATACGCACTTGCATAAAAAAAAACAAACGTTTTTAATGAAAATCGCGGTAACAGTTGCATGGCCAAATTTACTATGTTCCCTAATAAATATTGATTGGTACAATATGATATTCCTAAATTTTTATGGTAATATTTTGAATTGAGTCATTAAGATTCAGTCTTATTATAAATGCATAGTAAATTTCTACAGAAATTGCTCACCGTGTATGGTTGTCACAAAGAAATATTTAATAAAATAACTCAAATAAATTAATTTATTTGAGACAAATAATTCTTTTTTTCTGTGTAGACTCTGCAATAAGGTTCATTTTTGCTAACTAGCAAATAATAGTTTTCAGTAAATGAATAAAAGGTTTTTTCTGTTTTTCTATTGTCACGGCAATGTGATTCAAATAATCTAATTCGATTTAAGTAACCTAATTCGAAGCAACAATAGATGATTAATACATTCCAACATTATAGTGAACATCATTGAAATCGGAAAGAGATTATACCGAGTTCGTGTTCAAAGCTTATTACTAGTTGCTGTTGTTGAAACAAATGGGACTGCTGTAGATAATTAGTTATTAACAGGAACTGAGGTCAAATGTATCATGTTTTTAAAACCTCGAAGAGATAATGAAAAATATATGGTCGGTTATCAGCAGTGACCAGACCGGACAGCGCTATATCAAGTAACTTAAAAATCCAAGGTTAAATGGTTGGTCTTTATCAGTGGGTTTTTCTCAGAATTAATTTAGGCTCAGATATACAGATCAGTCTACGAGGCGTAATAATAAAGTATGATCACAATGGGCGGTAATTGTCCAAATTTGACTTTTTAACGTTAAAATGAATAATTATGGTTGTTTTATGAGAATCGATAAGGCAAATTCCTGATACTATATCAATTTGCTCTAATTAACTGAAATAGGTCCTTTGCATGATGTGTTTTTTATGGAAATATGGTTTTATCACCTACGCCATACCTACCAAACAATTTGTTAATGGATTTACAACTAAGTACCCTTTTTTAAATTCAGGATTGGCTAATGTAATTCAAAACTTCAATTCAGCGAAAACACTTATTTTCAGACGTCGCTAAATAAAACGGTTGAACCAATAAGGTACAGCAATTCATTTTAACATCTGCATGTATTTTGATATGAATATTGGATTTAAAAATGTTAATCCTTTATTATGAAACACATTTGTGAGAGATTATAATACAATTTCTAATAGATTATAGCGACCTTTGTATCTCTCAGTAATAAATATTTACACAAATGTATTTTGGTGGGGAGTCAACTTAAAACCTATCCATCAAATTCAGTATAGGCCCATCAGATTAAATCCCGTCTGTTTGTCTAACACTTTAGGTTGGTAAACTTCATTTTAGTTGGGTATAGGCAAAGTTAACGATGTGGAATTTTGTAAAATTCACATTAAGAGAAATACAAAAATTATTATTTACACACAACCCCCACCTTCACTATATATAATTTGTCTTTGTGTTTTGAGAATATATGTAAATGTATTATTGATAGTAGATATTAAATTTGGTCTAAAGCAAAAGGAAGAATAGTAGAAAAGTCTATCTAATAATTACTTTGAAATAAAATTTGATATTTGATAAAAACAGAAAGAAGAAAATTTTACCATCGTCATATAGTACAAAAGCAAAAAAATTCTACGACTCTTGTTTTATAATTGTGACCTCAATATCAATTACATATTATATGCAAATTAGCTTTAATGTGGTATTTCGCACATTACTTTGTTAAGTACCGATTAATTTCATTATCCAATTATTCCATAAGCATTTAAGCAACAATTTATAGTAACATTTTTAATACAGAGAGATTGATTTTTTTAAAATATTAAATATTAACCTCTGCACATAAATATGTATTGAAACTTACCTAATAATAAAATAACAAGTGAAGCATTGAAGTATTTTGAATGTCTTTTCTTTTGTCGAGTAATTAACATAAAAAGTTTGACATTTCTTTCTTCTAGTAAACAACTACCAAACTTAATATAGAATATTTATAAATAAGCAAAAGTGATTCTCGAAACCGTACTTGAAACCGAAGGTTATTAGAAATACAAATATCCAACATTCAAAGTTAAATAAAAAGACATCTATAAAATATTCACTGGCGGCAACTTTGTTCCAAATTCCGTTGAGGATGCGCAATTTATTGGACACCTTTCGTTTCAATTTGCGTGGAAGATGTGACTGGTCCCCTGGTAACAGTTCAAGAAGCTTGACCCGGTTCAAATGGGGACATAATGCCTCCAAAGTTTCTGAGTGTGGGTAACATAGGAATTTATAAATTTAAAACAAGCGCTTTTAATATTTTGCTTTCACACCTCTATAAAGCATTTTACTGCTACAGTTCTCACGCGTTATGTCAAGATTGTTATTTTTTTGCCTGATTGCTGACAAATAAAAAAGTATCATTGATACCATATTACTTTTTTTAATTTGTCTTAGTATTAGGCAAAATAAGGGATCGAGTAAGAATTAATAAAACGGAAAGAGAAGTTGACGACATGTAAGAAAATGGTGACGAAAAATCTCGTCTGCCCGTGATCACAGCTTTTGTAAAGTAACCAAAACCTTGGGTTAAATGTGAAATAAATCCAATAATTATAGTTTCATTTAGAATGTCTTCTATACTATTACTATAAAGAGGAAAGGTTTGATTTTTTGTTTGTTAGTTTCGAATAGGCTCCAAAACTACTGTACCAATTTGAAAAATTCTTTTACTGTTGGAAAGCTATACTATCCCGGAGTGACATAAGCTATATTTAGTTCTTTACAAAATAGGGTTCCTTACCAAAACCCCGACAATGTAAAAATATACTAAAAACCTTTCTTTAATCGCGAACGCTACGAAAACGATTGAAGATATAACAAAGTGACGTACTACAATTTTGTAGAACTTATCATTATCTACAAAGAACGTTGTGACATCATACGTATATCTAACTACTATTATAGTTTTGTCACAATAAGCGATTTTTTATATAAAAAAATTAATCAAAACACCACTGCTTGAAAAGACTCTTTATTTCTACCTTGGTATTAATCCTTATCAAAATAAATGTTTTTTTTATTTAAGATCATTTTTAAATCTTTATATAACTTTTTGAATTATTAGATTCTGACATTCCATTCAAAAGATTTCAAGAGTTAAAAATTTAAAAAAAAATCCGTTCGGCGGTTAACTATGCGTTGTAGGCAGTGGCGGCTGTACCTTAAGTGCACTCGTGCGCTGAACCACCAATTCAAAAGATTTAAAAATTACAAAATAATACTTCATCTTTATTTTTAAATTACCATTTTAATATTTATTTTCTAAACATACAAAAACGTATAAAAAATTAAATTTCTAATTATAGTCAAAAAGTATGTGCGCTTTACTAAACTAATATCTCGTGCGCTTCGGCGAGTGCGAGTGCTATTCTATAAAACAATTTCTAAAATTTATTTTATACGTTAATGAAAACCTAAATGTCTGTTTATATTGTCAAAATTTCTTAAAAATTTATAATAGTTCGCGATACATAAGCTTTTGGCATTTGTGTGACTGTATTACTTTATGATAAACTATTACCTCTGTCTTAAAAATTCAGTTTTTCTTTCAAATTGTTTGCGAAGAGCAAATTTGTTTCTTTCTTGTGTGGTTTTGTACGAGTACATATTCAGTTTTACTATTTGTGGCCGGAGCTATAGTAACAAAATATCTACATAATTCATTTACCATTTTTTAGTGCAATTTTCAGGATAATTTGTATTGTGTGTTTTTTGCTGAAGTGTTTGTTCAACAAATTATTATATTGTTGGAATGTTTTCACAGACCATTTTCATACTATTACAAAAGAATAAGAATAGAGTAACAATAGTATTTTTTATTTTCAGTAAAATTTTTGTTTCAAAAAATGCTGGCAATTAGACGTACAAACTTAAGTCGCAGAACTCGTAATGCCTCACAAGTCAAAGATATAGAAGAGCAAGTCTAACTGATGAGCAACTTGAAACGCGGAATGAAGATGAACGGAATCGATGGACCCGGAACCACCGATATAGAAGTGTTGCGTTTAACCCCTATAGAGCTGCATTTAACTATCAAAGAAATGGATTACAGTAGAATAAACTTTTTGCCAACTTTTAAGGTGTATTGAAAAACATATCATCTAACAGGTTCCTTATTGCCAGTGCCAGATAGTGACTACAATTTTTTGCAAATTCATTTCACAGGCGATTCAGGAAGACAAGTCGGCCAGTGTTGTGCAGAAAACAATTCTGTGGAAAGTCCAGTTGTAGAAAAGCTCCAATTATTTTTCCATCAACACAATGCATTGGTTGCATTATTCAAGATTGCTTTAGATCACATGCTATCTGATTATCACAAAATTATTATCAAAGCCGACAAGGCGCCTGCAGGGCAACACATAGGACATTTTAATGCCCCAACAATCGATGAAGTCACTATTGTCATTGTGGGTGAAAATGTAGATAATCACAATATTGTTTTTCACCTGTGTAACATTTAACTGCAGTGTGTGTCCGAAACACATAGAACATATATAAGATACTTTAAAATATCCTATCTTATTTTGGCAAGTCGAAGATGGGTGCAATATTTTAATGAAAATGATAAATTCAGTTACAGGTAAATACACATTTTAAGTGTGTACTGTTTATCATAGCTTTAAGTAATTTATATAAATTTATCACAACAAAATGTTTTTAGTTACTGAAACTAACAAAAAAGTTAGTTCATTGAATTATTATTCATACAGGCTTATGGTTGGAGAAGTTGAGTTCAATCACATCTTAAAATGTTGGCGTCTTTTTCATCAATATGCTGTTGATATGTGTGTAAAAGTAGAAACTAAGCGATCAACATTTATCAGGTTGAACCAGGCAAATCTCCGTTCAGAGGAATAAGGAAATTAACATCATTCAGCTAGTTTAAAATAATTTTAAGCCCATTAGAAAAATAATATGTTTATACATTTGATTCAACAATAACTAAATTATTAAAATTTTAAAGAATCTTCAACTATCAGACACTTGAACGAAGTATTCCAGTAATTAATATTTATATTTTATAACTAAATAAGGTCTATTAAAGTAAATGAAAACGGCTCATAGCCGAGTTTAAGTTAGAGAAAGCAGTAAAAATACCAATTTTATGTCTGCGATCTGTGTGACAAAACTGCAACAAAACACCAACTGAGATTATTGTGGAAACACACAGAATATTACACCGACAGTCATTTGTAACTAGATTTTTTCACAAAATAATATGATGTATTTGTGGTTCATTTATTACTGTAATATCATTTTATGTTTATTAGTATTGTTGTTCTTTGTTATAAATTAATTTGCTTAAATATACATGTTTCAATGAACAGTTTGAATTTTATATTATTTATCAAATTTACATAAACAATAGATTTAAATCTTTATTGTCAGTGTTAAAATTTCAAACCTTGTATTTCTAAATCTTTATCAAACACAGGTGGTGTACTCAGCTCAGATGTTGCTACAATAACACTAAAATGAAAGTAAGCTATTGCATACAGCATAACATCCTTAAGTCCTTTTTTAAGTAGTCAGTTCTGTTGTCTATTGCAATTTTGATATAGTGTCCAAATATGATTGCTTTTGTACAAATAAAGATATATTGTTCCAAACAAGCTGTTTCTCATTACTAAACCTGCGTAGCTTATAAACTACAGCTAGTTGTAAGGAAACATTTCTCTGTTTCCTAATTCACAGAAATAAGTTTAAGATCTTTTTAAACAAACTATTTACTTTTTAGAAACTTAATTATTAAACAAGATTAATTCTTTAAGAGAACTGTAAAATGCTTGAAATTTGAAATAATAAACAAAATTAAGATAATCTTTTAATATTTTTTTTTTTTGCATGTGAAAACTTGTACATAAAATTTATGGTAGACACTCGTATACTTTCCAATGAAAATTGTGAACATTTAAAAAAACATATGTAATTAAATTAAATACAAAACTACTTAAACGTATTTTATACTTAAAAGTTATTAGTCACGTTGGCGTTTCATATTACAGCTTCAGAAGTACAAATGTTGTTGAAAAATTCATCTACAGGATTGCAGACTATCTGCGCCACCCTAACTGCCTTCTAATCAAGCGGCTGGAGTGCGTACACTTATGAAGTGGCTTTTTAAACATCAAAGCCTGCTCACCTCAAAGAGATTGGGGGACACGAAAATTATTTATAAGTTTTTAAAAGGAGGGAATTTAAGGCTTCTCATACGCCTTTCTTTTCGAATCTGGCTCGTCTTTCATAATCCCTTTGTAGATTGAAATAAAAGAGTCTTCAAGATATTTTTAATCAGGTCTTTGAACTTTTTTAATAAGTATCTTCGATAGCTTTTAGTCTAGATAAGTCTATTAAATTTTAGTTCATATATAAGTAACACTTGATGTAGGAAATTTTGAGATCAAATAGAATGAATACGATAGCTAGTAGTAGAACATAAGAAACATCTCAATTTAATAAGAAATCTTACAAATAAATTCAAAATTTGTTGAATGTATAGATGTGCGTTCAAATTAAGAGTGCTGTTATTTAACAGATATTAATGTTTTTAAAATTAATATATGTAGGTATTAGTATGATTAAGGCGGCCAACCGTCCCGAAATGCTAGACGAAATCCCGCTTTGAAATTCTACTAGACTTCTACACAACACCCACACGCGCCCACGGTCAACAGTGCAGGAACACAGATTACCTATAATCTCGTTTTCTTTCTTTCTTCTGAACTCATGACGTGTAAGAGAGTACTTAAATTTAATATGGGCAGTTGCGAAGATTTTTATGACATTCCCAATCCCTAACCCTCCCCCCCCTCCGCCATTCACGAAAGGTTACGTCCCGCATTCAGTTTTCGGAAAGTCCGCCTTACCCAAAGGTCACCTTAGTGTATTCGGATAGCCGAGGTTGTTTGTTGTTATAATGTAAATATTTTACAAACGAGTCACAGCAATCTTGTATTATAATGATAGCTGGTGAAATGTAAATAAACAGTGTGATTAAACTGAAAATATTAAGAAAGTAATTGTTATTTACGTAAATATTTAATATGCATTATTTGTTTTTAGAAAAAATAATATCGTTAAGATGCAATTCAAAGCTTAAATAAGGAAAATTTCTGAGTTTCTAGCCTAACACAGAAAAGTTGTAGTTCAAACGATGTAAAGAATTGTTCATTTACTTCTTGCATAATTAAAAACCATGCCGATCGTAGTTACTAAGTAAACAAATAAATCGATTTAGATTAAAATCTATTAAAGCGCTTATGGTAGGTACGAGTACCAAGACTTGCATGTTGTTTTGTAATAAAATCAAAAATAAAGATTTCATTCAAATTACCAAAAAGACAGGGTTCAATTATTTTGAATATTCAAAACAGAAGTCAAATACTTAATCGTTTTTCAGCAGAGGAATAAAATAGTTTTTAAGTAACTGAAGTGCTTTAATTTGCGTATTAAAACAAATATTAAAATGATTTATTTATAAAAAATGCCTCTGCCCGTTGGCTAATAGTTTTTCGATTCTAAATGCATTTTTGTGTATAATGATTTTGAGATCATTTATTTTGTCCTGCTTCTCTGCTATATCGAGATCTAATTGTTTTATTTTATTATGCAGCGGAAACAGCGATTCTTCGTTGGCTCTGAAAAATAGGATTTTATTAGATATTTTATGATATTTCTTTGACTCAATAATAGCTTTAATGTATATACTAACGCCCTTTGTTTCAATAGTTCCTTAGAAGCATCTTCATAGGTATTCGTCCATTGGTGAAGTTCCTGTCTCATTACTTCAACATCTTCTTGTATATGATCCAACAACTTGCCTAAAGGATTAGCTACACGCGACAACGCCTGGATGTTAAATCGTAATTGTTCAATTTCCTCGTTCACTATGTCTCTTGATTTTTGAACGCCAAACTGCCATTCCTGATGAATAGGAAAGATTATATTTAGTTCAAATTAAAAGCGTATACGGTGGCTAATCGTAGTCTTACAATCTCTGTCTTTCCGGACGTTTGTGAAAACTCCTTCTGTGCGTCAAGTATTTGTTGCACAAGATGGCCGCGTTGTTGCAATTCGTCACTTTGATTCTGATAGTCGGTTGCGGCTTGAGTATTGTCTACAATTACTATACTGTTATCGTCATCCTGTAAAAACAAGGAATTTTTAATGAAATCAAATACTTTGACACATGATTTGGTTCATTTAAATGTATAGAAGAAATTTTCATTACCTCCTCTGTTGTGCTTTCTGGTATTATAGTAACTTTACCAACAATAATATTCTCATTACTATTAATAACATTTTCATGTTTGTCTCTGAGTCTTGGAGCGCTGGGTCTTGAGGATGAAGGTCTCACACTCGATGGTCTCTTAACATTCACTTCAGGTTTTATTTGTTCAAAGTTTAATTTGTCATTAGTTTTTGGTACATTGATAACTTCACTTTTATCATTGGATTCATCTGATTCGTTTTTTATTGCATGATCATTACTTGTGTCAGTATTCACAGTTTTATTATCATTTTTATTATTTATTTCAACTGGGTTTTGTGCTATTGTTTTGTCCTTAACATTGCTTTCCTTCTCATCTTGATTATTATCTTTGAAATCTTCTGTAATATTTGGATCTTCATTGTTTATTGAAGTTTTTGATTCATTATTCTCACTCTCAATTTCAGTTCTACTAATAACAGAGTCATCAACATTTGGAACTTCAATATTTTTATCATTCTGTGCTAATTCGGGTTCCTTTGTATGATCATCAGTATGTAAAGAATTTTGTTTATTTGAAGAGCTGTTTGTAACATTGGTATTATTTTTACTTACTGATATTTTACTCTGCTTATTAATTTCTTGCTTATTTTTATTTGGACCAATTTTAATTGATGTTTTTGATGGCTGTGTCGATATTCTTTTGGGAGGAGATTCTTTTTTTGTCTGATCTTTTTGTTTTGTTTTATTTGATAGTATTGAATCATTTTTCTCATTTTTTATCAACTTCTCTGTGCTCTGTGAGGATGTTAATTTCTTTGTTATTTGATTTTTCTTCACAACTTTTGTTTCTTTACTTTTATTATCTTGTTTTAATGTTTCCTTGTATTGCCTAACAGCTTCGTCGGAGCTCAGTTTTTTATCTAATGCCAGTGCTATATATTGTAATAACTCATTAGTTTTGTCAGGTTCCTGTCCGGATACAATTTTTGATGGCTTAACAAGCAAGGTCTTTCCTGTAGTACTAGCTGTAATATTATTAATATATAAATTATAACTATAGAATTTAATTCATTTAAATCCCTACTAATATTATAAATGTGAAAGTAACTCTGCCTGTCTGTCTGTTATGCTTTCACGACTAAACCACTGAACTGATTTTAATGAAATTTGGTACAGAGATAGAGTTGACCTTGAGAAAGAACATGGGATAGTTTTTATTACAGACTTTTGAAAGGTTCTCTTGGAAACAAGATATAACCGAACTCCACGCGGGCGAAGCTGCGGGCGGAAAGTTAGTTTCTTATATATTAATAAAAACAACAACTTACCAACAACTGATATAACTTTGTTAAGAAACAATATTTTGCTTTCTCTGTCTTTCACATTTTCAGATTTTAATTCGTCTTCTTCAAATAGCCCGTCAAAAAATCCTGTATTTTTTATTATCTATAACAATATTTTAAGGATTTCCATTAATATTAGAAAAATATATTAACGGTTAAAGTAAGTTCTCTAAAATTATAGATTGTTCATAATTAATATTTTAATCAATACCAACACTCGTTACAATATCGTGAAGGAATCTAAACGGTGGTTTCTTCAGTAATTTATCTGTCAGAGGCGGTCGTTTTATGTATTTCCCTAAAGAAGACTGCGTGGCTTTTATTATATCTGGATCTAATTCTTCTTCCATTGCACATATTTCATAAATGGAACAATGTTATATGAATATTTGACTAATATTCTAAACCCCTTCGTAAACTTAAAACGACGTTCTTAAGTATGACGTGACAATCTACTGTTTACATTAAGTGCTACTCGGTTTCCATGGAAACGCCATGACGACTAGTATGCAGAGTATAATTTATAAATTATATTAGACATTGACATTATAGTTTCCAATATATATGTATATACAGCCTAATATTACAACATTGACTCCACCATTTATAATCTGTGGCGCTGTAGTCAAGTACGCGACGTGGCTAGTATAGAAAAAGAGAGCATCCTACAAACTCGCAACGTTCTCTTTCTTGTATTACTATCTAAAAATTGAGGTGTAAAATTAATTTTATTTTAAAATGAACTCTATTTTATACATATTAAGTTTTATGTTTAATTAAAGCGGCTACAATGTCGCATTAACTGATAATATTTTTTATTACCAGGTAATAAGATTCATTTTAAGATAGCCCAAATTTATATCGGTGTAATTCGAATATCACAATATTTATATGTTATCTAAAATATTTGTGAGTATATCGCCATTGTGTTTTCTGCTAACAAAATCGGCGCCTGAGTGAAAGTAATATCAATTTTGGTGTCAGCTAAATTGTAAATATTAAAGCTCCTACAGTAGTTAGGAGTATTTTAATCTTACCATGTTTTAGGGGTTTCAGGATGCCACCAAAACTTAAAAGAGGCCGTCCACCAGGCTCAAAAAACAAGAAGACTATCAATCTATTAGCTCAGAAAATTAAGGATGAACAAAACGGCGAGAACATCAAGCAACAGAATGATGATTGCTATTGTGAATCTTGTAAACAATCATTTCCATCGGCTCGGGTTTATCGAAAGCATGTCAAATCTTGTACAATTAAACAGGAAATATCACTCGCAGGTGTCGATGTTACACCAATAAAGGTTAGTTGGACAAATAAATTAATTCTTACATATGGTTATCGGGAAAGTAAAATAACTATGTTTTTAGCCTGCATACAACTGTAAGCAATGCAGCAAAAAGTTCAGATTTATCAAGAGTTACGAAAGTCATCTATTGAACGAACATTCTTCGACTCCTGGCAGTGTTTCTTGTAACCAATGTGATGTGGTGTGTCCTAATGAAGATGTTTTGGCCCAACACGTCCAGAATGTTCATCTTAGAGAGATCTTTGAATGTGAACACTGTGATCAGAAGTTCGTTAGGAGGTCTCATGTTCTCAGACACATGATGCAAAAGGGCTGTGATGGCAGAAAAATCGTCACCTATCCATGTGAAGTAAGTTGTTAATATATCTGAGACTTAAAAATTAATTATAAAATATTAATATATGTAAAATATTTTTAGATCTGTGAGGCATCGTTCTCAAGGAAAGATAACCTGATGGTTCATCTGAGGTTGCAGCATATAACAACCAAGCATTTCAGCTGCAAGCTCTGTGAATACCACACCAGAAATTTCTCAAAGTTGATTATACACAATCAACAGAAACATACAGGTAACATATATACAATTTGAGACTTAAGAACCTTCTTCTTCCTGTTAATTTCCCAGCTTTAGCCAGGGTCTGTGTAAATGGGACTTAAGAATCTATTTTAAATATTATGCATATTGTTAATATTAAGTTTTTTGACAAAATTTATCATTACAATAGTTCATAATACACTGAACATTCTATGTCATTAACATTACTATATTAAAAACGGTTCTTATAGAAACACCTAGATTTGAATGTGATCATTGCGGCAAGATAACTGGTTCCCGAGGAGCCATCGCCAAACACCTTGAAATACACGGTGACAAGAAATTTGGCTGTGAAGTGGTGAGATTATAATTAAATATCTATTATTGAACAATTTTATTCTACTGAAATATTACTTTATTATTGATACATATAAAAAAATGTTAAAAAACTCAAAATGAATGTTTTCTCTTAAGCTGCTTGTAGGACATTGGTGTAAGTATATTTATTAATAAAATTTAAGCCACCTATCAATTTTATAATGTAATTGGTTACTTAATATTATATTGTGTGATTTCAGTTTTACAGACCTCTTTTTTTCTCTAACCAGTCATTTATTTAAAAGCATGTTTATAATAAAATAAATATATAAAAACTTTTTTCCAGTGTGGCTATGCAACCTTCACGGTTGAGGTAATGCGTCGTCATGTTCTAACGCATGTTAGAGAGAAGCCATACAAATGTGATATATGTGGCCAGTCGTACATACAAAAAGTTCAGCTACAAAGACACTTGGAGAAACACACCGGCAATCAATGCAACATATGTTCTAAGAGCTTCGATTCTAAAATAAAGTAAGTTAAATATTACTTGGTAGTCAGTAATTGCTCTCGAGTTTGAATGTCATTACATATAGTGATTTATATGGCGTTACTTGTGTTTATGTTAAGGTATTACTTCTAACTGGCAATTTCCCAACTTTAGCCAGGGTTTGCCTTACATGTTGTGAATAGTTTTGGCAAATTTTTTTTTACGACCGGCTGCCAGCCTGACATCAACCCTCTTTGGGAATGCATTAATCAGTGATGTTTAAATACTCTTAGAAAGTACATATGATTCGGAAAAATCACATTAGTACTTGCCAGGATCAAACCCGCGCCCTCGGCAACGAGAGGCGGGCCCTTTAACCACTAGGCCACCACTAATTTATGAATAAAAGATTAGAAATGCTATATATGTCCGTATGTCTTCATAAATTGATATATGTGTATATTATGAATTCAACTAGATATGTTATACTTTCAGATTGATTGTTCATGAAATCATGCATAAGGGAGAGCCTTTGCTATGTCCATACAGCAACTGTGACACGAAAAAGTTTAAAGATGCCAATGATCTGGCCAGTCACATCAAAATGCACCTGAACGAAAAACGTAAGTGTTATTATCTAATAATAATCATATATTTTGTTATTGGATAGATTTATGACCTATTAATTCCAGTACCCCAATTTTAATAAGGAAAATTTTTGATTGCTGGCTTAAATTACTTGCCAGTATCTTAGTATTGTGTAAAATATTTATGCAGAGCGTATGCCATATAAATAATCATGAATTTAATATAAGTCAAAAGATGCACTGAGAGTCTCCACCTTTTTGTGTTACTGTGTTTCCTTTATCTAACTATTCAATGTCTTTCAGTTGTATTTAAATTCTAATATTTGTGAAAAATCATTTTGAATTTTAAACCATTTCATAGAATTTATCTCTAAGATTATATAGTTTTGCAAAAAATGATGTCATATATACAGGGTGACTGGTGAATTACTATCGATACTTGAGGACGTGATATTTGACGATCATATAAGACAAAATAAAAATTAATATAACATAAATATTAATAAACTTCTTAGTAAAGTTAACCAAAAGTTATGTAATTAATTACGCATCGTGTGAACACCCTACAGATTAGGTATACACACACACACGCGTGCGACGGCGTGGTGTTGTATCAGCACGCCGCCGCACGCGTCCACACTGGAACGTGTCCACACTTTATTTATTTATACGGAAATTTGGTCAAAAATTAAGTACCTATTTTTTTTACATAATTCGAATGAGAATCATGTACCGAGTATTCTCCTTAAATATTGATAGTAATTCACCAGTCACCCTGTATAATGATTGAATCAAAAATTATTTTTACGATTTTGGAATTCAGCAGCCAAGTTTGATAATCAGTTAATCAATTTCGGTTGTATTTTTACTGAGTATCAGGTGGAAATATAATTATGGGCTAGACAGTATATGTATATACATATGTCTTTACAAGCAAGAGATCTAGAAAAGTATAACTACGAACATAACATTTTACAAAAGAGTATAATATGTATAAGATAAGAATAAGCCAAACTTCAATCAACTGGAAATAAGAAACCAAAAGAACGTTTATATATTTTGAGCGTCAGTATTGGTGATAATAATAACATATTTTTCAATGAATAAAACAAATAAATCTTACTTTAATCAGTTTTTCTCATCATCTCTTTAAATAGAGAGAGGAGCTTGGACAGTGGAGGTGAGCGTATAACGCGCGTTAGATAGCCCTTAAACCTACACCTGGGTCGCAAGTCCCAGGCACTGTTGAAGCTCCTCTCTACAACGATGGACCACACCCGAAATGAATCCATTGAATGCTGAGAGGTTTAATCTGTTTCATTTCCAGCATTCGAGTGTGAGGTATGCAATAAACGTTTTAACCTAGAGGTTAATATGCGTCGTCATATGGGCACTCATACACTAGAGAAGGCGCGTCGCTGTATGTATTGTGTATCCGCGCGCGCATACGTGAGAGGCGAACAACTGGTCCGCCATGTGAGGAAAACACACCCACAAGTGTTCCAGCAGAGGCTACTACACGTGCGGAGTGTACTTGTATGTATTATTGATAACTAGCTTCGCCCCGCGGTGTTACTCGCGGATTTCCGGGATGTAAAATAGCCTATGTGTTATGGACATACGTCAGCTTCCTGAATACAAAATTTTATCAAAATCGGTTCAGCCGTTTGAGCGTGAAGAAGTAACAAACATACACACACACTCAAAAATTTTCGCAATTATAATATTAGTAGGACAAAATTACTATAATACTTTACAGCATAATTAGATCAAAGATTCTCGAGAGTTTTATTCATTTAAAAGAAACTAAATTTTTCGGATATACTACTCGACTTTATTTTTTGATAATAATTACATATTACCGACGTTTCGGCTACTTTTCAGCAACTGTTTTCACGGATAGATGATTGACAATCACGGTTGGTACAAAGTAACCGAAACGTTGAGATTATGTAGTTAAAATAATTATAAACGCGTAGTAAATCCGAAAATATTAATTTTATTCCAGTAAATATATTCTCGAATAAATATATTCTCGAAAGTCTTACATTTTATACTGTCAGCTTAGCCTTTTCTAAAGTGGATGATAGCGCCACAGAAATAAATTGACTCTGCTGTGTAGGGTCTTGATTTGTAACTTCATTTAGCTAGGTTTTTCAATAGTTTATTAATGGAAGCGCTAATAAATATATAATTTATTCTCTAAGCTGGCATATAAATAAGTTTAGGAACAACTAAAATTATTTTGTCTTTGGCCACTTTGAGAATAAATATATATAGGCTAAATAATAGCCCTATTGGGTTAAGATTATGTTATACTAGCTGCGCCCCGCGGTTTCCGAGATTTCCGGGATGTAAAGTAGCCTATGTGTTATTCCTGGACGTCAGCTTCCTGTATACAAAATTTTATCAAAATCGGTTCAGCCGTTTGAGCGTGAAGAAGTAACAAACATACACACACACTCATAAACTTTCGCAATTATAATATTAGTAGGATATATGCTCTCTTTTATCAAAGCAATTAGTGTGCAACTGACTTGAATATTTAAACTCCTCACAATACTTTATTAGGTATATTAAAATTTCCAGGGTTCTAATCTGGGTTTGAGTCGCGTGAGGAAGTCTGAAATAGAGTCTATCTTGAACGTACTTGATGCAGAGTCAGATCGGATTCTTGAAGGTTGTGGGGACGGAGCTTTATATGGTGGACTGCAAGAGAACGATGACTCAAATATCAAACAGGTAATACAACATAATAAATAATCATTTATACACCCACTTATATTATTATCAGAAGAACCAACTGTTTGTGAGGCTTTGATATATGTTTAAGATATTTTCTTATACTTCTTCTTAAGATATTTTCTTATACACTTGAGAATTTTATTCCAATTTTTAAAATTATAGTATGACATTTGACAATCAATTTTGAATTAAAATGAACAGATAAAAGGTAAATTAAGAAGCAAAATAATTAACATGACACAAGTACCACAAAATAAACTTCTTATGGAGAGGTATCCTAAAATATACTTAAAACTAACTGCTAATACAATAATAACACTTTAGATCTTTGAGTAATGTCACTAGACAACCAACAACTCCTTCTATACAACACATTGCTTCTATATTTTTTTGAGATGTTCATTTTGTATACCATTAAAAATATTAAGAAATATATTGAATTAATATATCAATTCTTTATCATTAAAATCATCTTTTCAGTTGATTATTTTTTATATTTATACATACATATATATTATTAGATCATTTTATACCAAGATGTTTATATACTTTTTAGGAAGAAGAAAAACCGCTAATGGCAGAGGATGAACTAGCTGATAGTCTGAACAAACTCCTCACACACATGATAGATAAGGAGATGCTGGAGTGTTTAGGATGGCCGGACGAACCTATAGATGAGGTATTATAATATAACCATATTTACTATATAATTTCATGGTAAAATATTAATTATTAAATGTGCATATCGTCAGGGATAGTGCAAAACCACGTAACTAGCACTGAATAATTCCGCGTATCTATATTAGAAGCAGAAAGACAGAAGAATGTTTAAGCTGAAATATTTTCTAAATTAACGACTGTTAAGGATTTTTTTTCACAATATCTAATGAATTAAACATTTAATAATTATTGATTGTGAAAGAAATTAATTTAAAAGTAGTTTATTTAGAAAATATTTCAACTTAAACAATCCACTGTAAATCTACTTCCAATGTAGATACGCGAAATTATTCAATGCTAGTTACGCAGTTTTGCACTATCCCCGACGATACATAAAAAACGTCGACTCTTATAAAACTGTCCATCAAATAACAAAAAAATATACATATTTTATCTCCCTCACATAAAAGTAAGCCTTAAGTGTAAAGAATTATTTAATAATGTGTTTTTAAACAGAGACTTAAGTAACTTTAATACTAGAGCCACATTCAAATAAAAAGAGTTCTTTTAACAATCTTGTTACTTAATGTTAGCTATATTCTGAATATATTTATACTAAGATAAAATGAAGTATTAGTGACAATAAATGCTAGAAAGCTTTTCAGTTTTGAGTGTAACTTTCCTACTATCCTTAAATTTACTTTTAATACCCTAAACCAGGGGTTACCAAACTTTTGTGTACAACACTTTGATAATGAATTATTTTCTAGTACACCCATTTTTTCACCTACTTGTAAACAATTAAAAGTTATCCTAGAAAAAAATTATTACAAATCACCACACAACGCCCACAATTTTTTTCTGGGTGTTTTACCGTCCTTTAGGATACAGTGAGCAAAGGACCGTTATTGCCAACTTTGGGAAAGGCTTTCCTTATCGTTTATCTGTGAACATAACATAAAATTTATTATTCAATAGGTTTTGGAGCGCATGATATCAAACTGTGGTGCTAAAGCAGCTGACCACAGCTGGCCACGAGTGCAACGTCTTCGAGAGAACGCCAAACAATTATTCCTACACGTAGTTGAAGATCAGACGGTGGCCCGCATGCTGCACACACACACCATCGACCAGGTCATCAAACACATACTCGCACAAGTAGCTGATGATGTACAGAAGTGATTGTTTATATTGCATAAACATGTTCGCTGACATCATTCATCTATATTCTTAACCAAAATTTGTATTGTCATACCAAATATAAAGTTTTTCTAGATTCCATCTATAGATTTTCAAATGATAGCATTGATTTGGGTGTAGGAGAAAATGTATATGCTTTCTATGTGATATAATGATGCAAATTTCTGATACAAGAACCAATTATGAAGTTTTGGTTAAAGGAGTATAGGGTAATTAATTTATAAGTATTTTCCTATTACATAGTTGAATATAATTACTTAGTTTTTTTATGAAATATTTGTTATTCAAAATGACTTCATGTCAAATAATCCAATAACTTTTTGATATGAGCATAAAAATATATTGCTAAAGATTACAAGCAAATAAATACTGTTGATATTTTAAATAATTTAAATGTGACGTTAATACAAAAATAATGATTGCATTAGATAAATATTTTAATATCCAATTTTTTTTTTAATATTATTCATATGCAGAAATATTTTTTATTATTATGATCATTTCACAAACATGTTTGTTTTTAATCCTTTTTACTGAATTATTTTAACCGTTCTTTTTATATATTTTTTGAGAGTATGCAAATCATTATTGTGGTTTTGAGTTGATAACAATGAAAAATATGAAAAATCAAATATATGTAGTGGATATTATTTTTAATTATATTGTTATCATTACGACAAGACTTTCATACATTTTAGGATATCAATTATTTTTAGTCTGTGGGTTGGGCAAATGTAATGAAATTTTATCTATATATTAATTTTATTTTTTAACTATCATATATTTCCACGAAAGTGCCTTTAATTTTTAATGAGCAAATATTTTATAAGCATCGCTATACTTTTATATTGTTATGTAAGCATTTATAATCAAATTTTACTTTATATAGAAAAGTCTATGATGAATATACTTATTATTAGTTTGAAGTTAAGTGATAGCATACTTGTAAGATTTAAATTGTTATGACTTTACTGATGTTGATATAATAAAGTGGTTTTATTCTATGTGTTTTGTTTATTTTATTGCCTGTGAACCATTTTAACAAGACCAGTCTTGATATACTCTATAGTACAGGATCCGTGGCCTATTTTTTCACTTGATTACTATCAAGCTAATTTTCCGTGAGTAGCTTCATTTTGATAAGACGCCCAACAATTTCCTGTGCGAAAATTTTTGATTGTGGTAGCTAACAGAGGTAGCAATGATAAAATATGTCGATTTGATGATTCTTCAATATTTATTACTAACTGAATTGTTTTTATTAAATCTTAAGATAATTATCTAAATTATTTGAAAAAATATTTGTCCTACAAAATCTATGGTTTCATCAAAGAGTCCTCCCCCTCCAACATGTATTGATAACGAGATCACCAAAAATGATTACTAACCAGCTGATTTTTTTTTTTATTACTTAGTTAATATATATATAATTTAACAGCCATATTGTCCTACAAATTTCGTGGTATGTTATCCCGGTCCTACGCTCAGAAATTGTTAATACCATAAAACCATTTTTCTCATTACTAACTGTAGGACAAAAATATTACATAATAGGTTAGTGTGTTCAGTGCCCAAATAAAACAATGTCCTACAAAAAAACAGGTATGTATCACTAGTCCGACAAGAATTGTAATTTTTTCGTTTTCCTATTTCTAACATAAATAAAGTTAAAGTTTCATTTTTATACTCTTTATATTTGTTAAATAAGATCTTTAAATTCTCATTGGTTATTTGTGGGTCATCATTTTGTTGCTCATTAAATATTTCTAAGTATTCTTTAATATTTTCCAGGTTCTGAAAATGTTGTAAAAACCTTTCCAAATGCAAAATCTGCAAAGCAAGAGAAAGTAGAGGATGAATTTTCCTGCACCGATTAAAGTGTTTTCCACTTATAAAGGAACTGATAGAACCACTGGCCAAAATTTCGCTATCTATAAGAATATTTGTTAACCCAGATCCACTTATAAATTTTCCGATAGCTTTCATGAATGATAACATTATGTGGAAAGGTCCAAAATTAATAAAAAGTTTTTGAAATTCATCCTCCGCACTCTGTATCCGTAAAGCAATTTTGGCCATAGCTAAATCGTAAGTAACGCTGAAGAAATTTTTTTGACATTCCGAAGCGATTTGCAAACTTCTTCGCATGGTCTCCTTTACAACAGCCGGATCCGTGGGTGAATTATTAATTTGCGTTAAATACTCAATCTTTTGAATTCTACTGTCATCTTTTAAAATTTTGGCATTATATCCTACCCACATTGGCGTGTTTGAAATTTGAAAGTTATGGGAAAGTATCCATGTAAAATATCTGTGCTGAAAATTAATTAAATTTTGCGGTTCTTCAGGTGACGCTACACTACTACGCCAAAATTCTGGACGACGTTGCTTCGCGTACAGTACATTTTCAAATGTCTGTTCCTCAAACGAACGTTTTCTACGGCCAGTCAAATCACGAACATTAACTGATAAATTCTGTTGAGCTTCTGTAGATGCATCGTTCCTTTTGATAATGTTCAATTCTTCTTCTGTAGGGATATTTTGATAAATGATACCCACTGTGTCATGCAAGGTATTTTTACCAGAGCTTGTCTCTACATATCTGTCGAAATTATCCCACGCTACTCCAGATGATAATAAAGAAGTTGGTTGTATGCCGGAAGGACATGATCGATTATTAGTGGCACAAGAATATGCAGCAGACGTCTCCAATTCCAGTACGCTCGGATAAGTGATGCAGTAACCTTGTCTGCTTAATATATCCACAACTTTTTTGCTTCCCGTGAGGCTTTTCATTGTTATACCCAGTAAAATATGCTTTCGCGGTTTAATATAACCTCTAGTAATACTGTAGATGGAGTCCTGCGAATAACATGAAGACAATCTCTGAACCCGATCGCAGCTTTCTTTGCCAATACCGTTCAAAGCAGTAGTCCAAAATAAATCCAACCATTTTGGAACATCGCACTCTCCTTCATTTAATACTTCACTATCAATGAAATCTGTTAAAGGTTTTTTTTTTATTTTCAATATATTTTTTCGATATTTCAAGGCGAAATCCTGTGCTTCTTGTTCAAATAATATATTACTGATTTCTTCATCATCGGTTGCTTCAATATCTACTTCAGATGATATAACAAATTGTTGATTAGAAATGTTAACCAATGATATTTTGTGTCTTAATTGAGTTTGTATATAATCCTTAAGAGCTTTATTGCTGAATGTGGTAGCTTCTAAATTTGCGTGTTCATACATTTCTTTCACAAATTCAGCATAACAATATTTCAAGTGAGCTAATGACATCACTCGTCGATTTGTAATAACTTCTTGCTGAATATAATTAATCAATCGTTCTCTGGCAATTTTATGGCCTTCTCGTTTCGTAGCCCAATCATTACTTGGAGGTGGATTCGTTTTCCTTTGGTATTTTGCAAAATAATTCACACTACATATATTGTGATACGCCAAAAAAGCATCGTTAACAGAGTTAGTTTCTTCTTGAATTTTTAGTAACATCTCTATATCACCCAGTTCTGTAGAATAATTTTTAATTTTTTCCAGAAAGGGCATTTTGTTTTTAATTTTACGACAGTACATTTGTCGCCCTTTACGTTTTATATTGACTTTTTCACAAAAAAAGCATTTTTTTTTTTCCTGACTCATCATCTCGAAAACTTTGTACATCTACTTCACAATCTGTATTGTCCTCCTCAACAGTATTTTCCGAGTCTTCGATATTACTGGTTTCATCATTTACTAATGTCGAATTTTGGTCAATATTTCTGTAAAAAATTATAATTGAAAATAAATAAATAATGTCAAGAAGATTTTTTGAGATTTGTATTTTTACAGAAACAATAATTGAAAAATAATTGTAATGGAATCGTTTCAAAAAACAGTCGATTCAGATTTACTTGTTTTAAAAAATGAACAATTACTAACAAATAATGTTTTTTTTTTTAAATTAACTAACCGTGATGTGCATGGCAATGGGTCCGGTTCTGCATTTGGAGCAGACGTTAAAGAAATCGAGGAATCAATGATTGCAGTAGATTGAGACGCAGATGATGTTGAAGCTGGCTCAGTGCTGTGTATATGAGAAATTATTTAAAAAAAAAAAAAAAAATAATTTATTTGAGAAACATGCCAGTACACACAGTCTACATAAATATCACTTAACATTATCGATATTGAAAAAATGATCCCATATTAAATTAATATTTGGTAAAATAGTTATACAAGAACAAATGTAAATGATAAAAAACTTCCCGAGAAGAGTCGAGCATTTCCGAACGTACTCGAATTCTCCGAGGCTTGAATGAGTAAACGATAAACACGTGGCTAAGTTTATTATTGCATTGAATATATTTATATTATACTCCAAATTTAGTAATCAAAAGTGTAAAATAAAATATACTTTCTAAAATTATTATTTAAAGAATGTAACAATAATGTTTCAAGGCTAATGTTCGATTTTACATAATATAATTACATGAAAATTTTAAGTTAATAAATTATTTTTCAATAATTTTAAAAATAAAGTAAAAAAATATTCGACCGACTTACCTTTCATAAGACAAATATTTAGATTTCACTCGAAATTCTTTGTAACAAGAGGAATGATAACCTATGATTTCGTCATTCCAATTTTCAGGTAATATAACATCTCCATATTTATGTTGATGATGTTTTCGAGCAGATAAAAAAGTTTTACAGGAAAGCCAAATGTCTGCATTAAATTTCTTCACTTCTTCTCTTTTCTCTCGGAAAGTAGGATTTTCACAAAGCAAATTACACAAGAAACACTCCATAATTATGAAAAATTAACTGAAAAATGCTTACTAACACGCTTATACTCGACACAAACGTGGGATACCTACTACGACGGAGTAAAAATGCTCTGCGCACGCGTCACGGTGTGACTCAGCTGTTGTAGAAAAATACAGAAACACAAGCGGCACAAAGGTTTCTTTGTTATTGTTTTGTTTAATTTCAGTTGACGTTCAGTAATTTTTTAACTTATAAAATTAGTTTAAAAATTAGTTTAAAATTAGACGTTCAGTAATTTTTTAACTTATAAAATAATATTATTGTTGAGTGAAATCTACCAAAAAGTCAACATTTTTTTTCGCACGCTTGAGAAATAATAAATATATTAATATAATAAGAAATATAAATTGATTTTTAATTTCATGACTTTCCAATATATATTCAATTGGAGCACCGCAATAGCGTACCACGCTATTTTTACATCAAGGATCTGTACTACTACTTTTGACCGTAGGACCGGGATAACATACCACGAAATTTGTAGGACAATATGGCTGTTAAATTATATATATATTAACTAAGTAATAGAAAAAAAAATCAGCTGGTTAGTAATCATTTTTGGTGATCTCCTTATCGATACATGTTGGAGGGGGAGGACTTTTTGATCAAACCATAGATTTTGTAGGACAAATATTTTTTCAAATAATTTAGATAATTATCTTAAGATTTAATGAAAAACAATCCAGTTAGTAATTAATATTTGAGAATCATCAAATCGACATATTTTATTATTGCTACCTCCGTTAGCTACCACTATCGAGAATTTTCGCACAGGAAATTGTTGGGCGTCTCATTAAAACGATGCTATTCACGAAGATTCAGCTTGATAGTAATTATTTTTACATCAATGATCTGTACTACTACTTTTAAGCGTAGGAACCGGGATAACATACCACGAAATTTGTAGGACAATATGGCTGTTAAATTATATATATATTAACTAAGTAATAAAAAAAAAAATCAGCTGGTTAGTAATCATTTTTGGTGATCTCGTTATCAATACATGTTGGAGGGGGAGGACTCTTTGATGAAACCATAGATTTTGTAGGACAAATATTTTTTCAAATAATTTAGATAATTATCTTAAGATTTAATAAAAACAATTCAGTTAGTAATAAATATTGAAGAATCATCAAATCGACATATTTTATCATTGCTACCTCTGTTAGCTACCACAATCAAAAATTTTCGCACAGGAAATTGTTGGGCGTCTTATCAAAATGAAGCTACTCACGGAAAATTAGCTTGATAGTAATCAAGTGAAAAAATAGGCCACGGATCCTGTACTACTACTATAGATACCAATATGAAAATTCTAATACAAAGTTGTGGATATTTTCGACAGTTTTTCCATCAAATAAATTTTAAATATTTGCTGTTAGTGGAGTGCCGTAAGGTTTATACCTCGGAATCCAGGGCCAGTCAATGAATCTTAATATAAACCTTGAAAACATGTTTTTAATAGTATAAAGAAAAAAGTTAAAAAAGAATTTTTTCGGGCTCTCAATTTTTTAATTCTTTTTTTATTTAAAAAAAATAAATTAATTTTTTGGTTTTTTCATTGATTTATATTAGTCAAAGTCATATTTTTAAAAGAACAACTATTACAAACTTGAAAACTTGACCTTGGGTCTTCAGGGACTGTAGGTATACCGATGAAGGTCGGGTTGGAGAATAGAGGGTGTCGCGTATCCGGCTCGAAGGACCATAAAATGTCTCTTAGGCGCTGACTCCACGAGGGAGAGAATCGCGGCGATATTATCGTCGTGCCACGTATTTCTATACATTCTCTCGCGGCGATAATATCGCCGTGTGGAGACGGTTCCATAGAGAATGTATAGAAATACGTAGCACGACGATAATATCGCCGCGATTCTCTCGCTCGTGGAGTCAGCGCCTTAGAGTTCTTCGCGACAATTTGTTAGTTTTAAGTGTATTGTCAATATGATGATAGAAGTGACAAAGATAGAGAAACATGAAACATACCGAAATAACAGAAAATATTGGATTTCAAAGTTTAAATGAAATTTTAGAAAAAAAATTACGTTTTAGAGAATAAAAATGAAACGTCCAGATTATGGATCAGCTATTTTCGAATGGTATCAGTGCTCAAAGACTTTATTGCAGCTGAACGTATGGGTGATTGGAATCTGCATTTACAGACTATTGGGAAAATGATTCTATATTTTCATGCATCAGGACACTTTCCGTATTCAAAGTTCGCGCAATTAATTGTACTTGCAAGACATGAAGGAATTATCTGTCCAAATGCACCCAGAAGAGTTTAAAGAATTCGCACAGGGATATTTTACTGCTAGACGTTCCGATGTTTTTTCTGGAATTTCCACAGACGAAACCATTGAATAAACTTTAATGAAATCGATGAGTGTTGAAGGAGGACCTTTTAAACGTGGTGTAACAGACAGTATCGTGTATAAATGGATAAAAGGTGTTATTTCTTCAAAAGATGTAATAGAAGGTGTAGAAGAATCTTGTAATATATCTTTTAAAAAAAGTTATCAACAAGCTGATTCAACCGATGCACGAATCAAAAGGGACGACGTGGACGTGAAAAAATTGGAAGAATATTTTATTCAAAATTCTCCATTTCCAGATGTTAGTATCATTATGTCTAGCGCAACTGGAATAACTTCACAAAAAAACGTGAATTGCTACGCAGCTTTTCAGCAAGGTCTAAAAATAATGGAGAAAATTAATGGGAAAATTTTTAAAGAAGTAAAGTTATCAAGAAAAGACAAGATCATTCCTCTGTTGGCTTCCACTAGCAAAATCAAAGTGGATGATGATATTATTCCAATTGATCCCCTATTATTATTTCAACGTATATACGTGTTAAAAAATCGAATGAAGAACTAAAAAACTATATGACTTATGAATTAGCTCCTTCTCCTCTTGCTCTCTTTGAAGATGGTGAAATACGAAAAACTACAAAATCCACGTTTTATGACCTATTTCCAGAAGTATCAGTGGATGTGAACGATGTCCGAAAATTTTCGTACGAAATTGATGGAGGAATGTTATTACACCCATGCAAGTGGCAATGAGATGAAAATTTCGGTACCATTTGTCAATATTATGTCAGATATCTACGTAACAATTATGGACCCAACATTTATGTCGTATTTGATGGTTATAAGAAGAGCTGCACAAAATCGATGGAATGAACACGTCGCTCTAAAAAAATGCATGTAATGACATAATATTTGATAAAATGATGCGTCTAAAAATAGCGCAGGAATTTTTTTTATCGAAGGCCAAAAATAATAGTAGCCTATAGATATGATACGAGAAGCACTCTCAGAGAATATACTAACATTTAACTCTTTTTTGAAAGCAACTGCTAAAAATACCTACGTTAAACTGCCGTCATTACCACCCACTGCAGATGGTGCATTTGAACACTTTAAAAGAGTATTCTGGCAAGTTCAAACATGGCTTGGAAGAGAAATATTACCAGAAGAATGGGGCTGGAAATATGAATGCGGAATATTGACACCGCAAACAATGACGCAACGACCAGCTCCAGAAACTTTATTAAAAATTATTTTTTGCTCATGCAAAACAGGATGTGGAGCATCATGTGGGTGCAGGAAAAGTTGATTAAACTGCACTGCAACTTGCTTAGAATACAATGGTGACAGTTTGCACTAATCCTTCACCTACAATCTATATCGACGAGATCGACGACGACGACAATAATGTACAATGATGTAACAATGTGTATAGTTAATGATAATATTTTTTGTAACTTATTTTCAACGATAATCTAATATATAAACATTGTAGTTAATCTGCGCATATAATTTATTACAAATAAAATTAAATTTTTCACTATAAACACTTTTTCCCCCTTCCTCCTCTCATTTTTCAGTAAATTGTTGTTAAAAATTGTTTAAATCGAGATCGGTCAATTTTTTTTTAATTTTTTAATTTAGGTTTTAATAATGCAGTCTCATACTTAATATTCATTGACTGGCCCTGGGTTCCGAGGTTTGACCATTTTTATGCCTTACGGCACTCCACTATGTAGATGATAATAAGAGATTAAGTTGAAGTCGAATTGTAAAATGATAAGTTAATCTTTGAGTACCAGATTATCTGATCACGTTGTTTGCGACTAATAGTGACTCGACTGAATTGAGAGCAATAAAAAAATTAACTGCACTTTAGTCAGTAAAAGTGTGTATTTTAATTTTGCATATACATTTTTTAAAGTTGAAAATAGAATTGCAATCTTTGTTTTGCTTTTTTCTTGTTATTACAATTATCTTACCTAATATTATATATTCTAATTATTACAAGTATGGCTAAGTGATAATGTGATTGAAATTGAATCATGATTTTTTTTGTAATTTTTAATTTATATTATCGATTTATAAACCGTTACAGCTGTTTCCCCTATCAACGTGACATTTCATCGTTGACAATGAAATTGACAGTAGATAGTTTTGACAATAAATAATCATTTTATCGTTACTTAGAAGTTAGACTTAGTCGAGTTTGGTATATTTATCTACTGCATATAACTTAATAAGTACTGTAAAATATTTATATTTAAATTTGTTTAGACTCATTAACTTTTTTGTTAATCAGCATCTAATATGTCGTCAACGGCACCTTTAATTATAAGGCTATTAGCTTCGTCGGTGTCTGTGGCAGGTCGAGCTGGCAAAATTGTGAGAGATGTTATGAGCAGAGGGGAACTAGGAATAGTTGAAAAGGTACGCTTATTATAATCTTATGTTATAAATAATTGTACTAGGCAAAAGGCGAGGGACTTGGTTAGTGATCGTGTTAATAAATTATATCTTTATCCTTTTATAATATTGGCAGGGCAAAGACGATTATCAGACTGAAGCTGACAGATCAGCACAGCGATGTATTATATCATCTTTATCATCACTGTATCCTAAGGTCAATATTATTGGAGAGGAAGGAAGTCCTGACTCCGAGGTATGTTATTAAAACAATTTCTTTGTGCTTTAAATATTATGACCAAAATAATTAACTTCCTTAGTTAGGCGACCTTGCACTAGCAATTTCATGCATGAATGATTTATAAAAAAACCAATTATCTTCAGGGTGAAATTCCAAGTGAATGGCTTCAAATAGAGGCGGACAAGGAAGTTCTGTTATTGGAATGTCCTTCAAGTTTGCAAGGTGTTAAAGAAGAGGATATTGTTGTATGGGTTGACCCTCTGGATGGCACTTCTGAGTATACTCAAGGTATAAAATTCATGTTATTTACATTAAATCCTTAAAAAAGGTTAGGTTTATTAGAATTCAAACATGAAATTCATGATGGCATGCTATAAACAATTCTAGGTGCGTTAATGTTGAAGCGGGATCCTTGGGAAAGATGGAAAATGTATTTAACACATCCACTGATAAGTATCAAATGGTATTTAAGTTTACGACACTCAAACTACGGTAATTGGAACAATTACTTGTAGTTTTATACTAATTTCCGATACTAATAAATAAAATAAGCATATTTAACATAAAATGTTTTATTGAACACAAAATAAAAACATACATTTGTAACTAGAATATCACAAGATGTCTTGGCGCATGTTTCACAGCTTCTATGTATTATTTCTATCTGTTAATACATACTTAATTAATCACGGACTTTCTGTAGATGGTTAGAAATACTGGATGTATGGCACAATAGACCTTTTCTTCAATATTTTTACTAACTATTAATATACATATTTGGTGCATGTATCCATAATTGTATACAAAACTGAAAAATTGTATTGTTGCAGGTTTTCTTGAGCATGTAACTGTACTTATTGGTATATCAGTGAATGAGAAGCCAGTGGCCGGTGTAATACATCAGCCATATTTCAAAACTATGGTCGGAGAGGAGAAGAAAATGGGTAGAACTATTTGGGGCCTTCAAGGAATTGGTGTCGGAGGCTACACACCGGCACCTCCACCAGATTCCCTTGTTATCACAACAACAAGAAGTCATTCAAACCCAGTAGTAGAGAAAGCTTTGCAAGTCATGAATGCAGCACAAATTTTGAGAGTTGGCGGCGCTGGTTATAAGGTATGTAATTATATTAATATAGCAATGTTGGCAGTATGAAATTATTTGTTTTAACTAACTTTAAAATAGAAGGTATATTGGCCTTGTGTTTCCAAATTGCTCAAAGACTAAAAATTATTACTGGTTCCTTTTTTTCTTTTTGTTATTTAAAACCATATTAAATAATATGATAAATTATACTTACAATAACTAAGTATAGTAATTAAATATGTGCTAATTAGTCAAATATTGCCACAGGTTTTACAACTGCTAGAGGGTAAAGCATCAATATATGTATTTGCAAGTCCTGGATGCAAAAAGTGGGATACATGCGCTCCCGAGGCCGTACTTAGTGCTGCTGGTGGGAAATTAACAGATATTTTGGGGGATTTCTACAAATATGGAGCTTCCGTCACACATCCTAACAAAACTGGGGTATTGGCTGCGGTTAACGATGAGCTTCACAACTATGCCTTGAGTCGAATACCACAAGAATTAAAAGACAAACTATCCGGTAATTAACATTTGAGATGAAGAATTATCCAAACAACTGTATATTAATTGTATAAGTGAAACAATTTAGTGTTATAAGATATAAATAAATTATTTATCATAATGATTTTGTAAACGTCTTTCATTACAGCTTGCTTTTAATGTTTGCGGACAACATTTTCCTTAATTCCCTTCTCAGAATTTTACCTGATGGATTCTTTGGTATTTCGTCAACAAATATAACGCCGCCTCGTAAACGTTTGGCTGGAGATACCTGTGATAAATAAATTCTTGTTGTTAGACACCATAGTTAAATATAAGAAAATAAATTACATTTTTCTTTAATAGCATGAAATATAAGGTAAATTCAACTTGACAATTATCACCTTAATTGGTACTTAAGTAGTAAAGAATTATTATTTAAGAAGAAGAGAATTCTTTAAAAAGAACCTAGTCACTGAATGGAAGTGTGAAAATTTTATAGAATTTAATTAGAAATGATATTATGTTTACCTTCTTAGCTATGTAATCAATAATTTCCTGTTCCTGTATATTGGTTCCCGGTTGCTTGACTACAAACGCCACCGGGAGTTCCCCGGCCAATTCATCAGGTTTCCCTACAACACCACAATCTGACACTGCACTGTGTTGTAGCAGTAAAGATTCTAACTCCGCTGGAGCCACCTAGAATATAAGAATGATAAAAAAAACTTTAGATTCAACTAAAACCGAGCAATCAATATAATTAAAATAAAAGGGACTAATATTATTTAATTACTTTGCGTATTTTATTATTTTAAACTACATACATCCAAGTTTCGGTCACTTTTCAGCAACCGTTATCACGGGAGAGGAGATGTGTTGACGAATATTCGCGAAAGAATTAGATCTCATTAAAATATACGGGGACGAATAGAATAAGTTCTTTTTATTGATGCTATATATAAAGAAATTTTTAAAAATATATGAGTAATTATGTTTGAGTATGTAATAACTGAATTTAAAACGAAGAACGAAAAAAATCAGTAGTTTGTATACCAAAATATGGTGCTAAATAAATAGATATATCTAACATACTGCGGGTGTATTGCTAAATTTCTTTTTTGATGAGAAATTTATATAAGCTCTGTATTAGTTATTTATATATGTATATACGACACTACGGTTAGGTGTTGTAAACACGTAGTGGGGTTAATAGGTAATTAGGTACTGCTGTATCTCATAACACTGAAGAGAAGAGTGATTAATGTAGGAACTGCTTTCTGGTTCAAACTTTTTGTGTTCTTGGAGTTCAATGAACGCAATTCGGCTATCAAATATGAAGCCTTACTTCAGGGAGATCACAATTTTAAACAGAGATTTTGTTTTTTTTGCGATTTTTGCTCGATCGACGAAGAAAACCTGAGGGACTGTCATCCGCAAGGCAGTATGTTGCTGCTTTGTGTTAAGCTACATATTCTATGGGACAGTAAAATTATAACTATAAAATTTATTTATATTTGCCTGCTTTTTCATTTGTAAATACATATGTAAATATGTAACGAAACGTCTTCCGTGGTAATTACTAATAACTTCTTGGCCGATACAGAAAATTATATTAAGATGAGTTAATTTGGATGTTTACGTCTTTGATGCAAAAATTTTTTCGCGGATTAGTCTTCTCAAGAATTATGTTATGTTGAAATTTGATTTAAATATGTATTACACATAAATTTAAATAAAATAATCGTAAGATGAATTCCCTATTTCCTCTTTCTGAAAGAGTAAAAAGAGGAACAATATAATTGTGAGGTGATTCATGTATATTCTAGTTACCGAACAAGATCTATCAATTTAGTAATTTTGGGTCGGGTTTTATTCCATTTTCTATAACAGACCAAAACAATGGTCTTTTTTTATTGTCTTATCTTTCAAAAAAGTTTGGATTCCAAGGACACTAGTCTTTAGATCAACAAAATATTTTAAGCATCAACCATTTGGAAACTCAAACTTTTTCAAACAACTCAAATTTTAAGTATTGCTATATAAAAACTTTCGTAGGTTCTTCATGGTATTTTATCTTCCTTCTCTTTATATACACATTGAGCAATGTTGCTCTCTTAAGATAAATTGTCTAGTAATTACTTTTTTAAAGTGAATTCAATTTCACACAGAGAATTTTACATGAAAATATGTTCTGAAGGAATTTTAAGAGACATATAAATGTTCCTTGATTTATAAATATATATAATGATTAAATTACCTGGAAACCCTTATATTTGATGAGTTCTTTGAGTCTATCAACTATATAGAAGTATCCTTCCTTGTCATAGTATCCTATATCTCCTGTCTTAACGTATCCTTCTTCATCAATCATAGCATCACCAGATGCCTTATCACCCAAATATCCTTTCATACGGAGAGGGGATTTGATACACAATTCACCTTCTTCATTGGGACCTAGTTTTTTACCAGTTTCAGTGTCTATCACCTGTAAATAAAATAAACATAAAAATTACATTACATTATAATTACATATATATAGTCGGGTATAGTGCAAATTTGCGTAACTACCATTGGATAATTCCGCGTATCTACATTGAAAGATTATCAGAAGAAAGTTTGAGCTGAAATATTTTCTATATTAACTACTTTTAAGGTATTTTTTTTACAATTAGTAATTATTTAGTGTTTAATTTATTACTCATTGTGAAAAAAATAGCTTAAAAATCGTTAATCTATAAAATATTTCAGCTCAAACTTTCTTCTGATAATCTGCTTACAATGTAGGTACGCGGAATTATCCAATGGTAGTTACGTGGATTTGCACTATCCCCGACGATATATATATTTGTCAAATTTAAAAATAATATTATCATAAGATTAATAAATATGTAATCTGTATTAAATTATTGTGATTACCCCTCAATCAGTATGATAAACAGATAATTCACAGGTCCATAAGATTAATTGCGATCTGATACATAGATAAAACTTACATACAGAGTAAACACTAAATATAATCTGTATGAAATTTTTATCATTGAATATATTTTACTAATATTATAATTGCGAAAGTTTGTGAGTGTGTGTATGTTTGTTGTTACTTCTTCACGCTCAAACGGCTGAACCGATTTTGATAAAATTTTGTATACAGGAAGCTGACGTCCAGGAATAACACATAGGCTACTTTACATCCCGGAAATCCGCGGGTAATACCGCGGGGCGCAGCTAGTACTAAATATATTATTATTTTAGGAGTGTATATTAAATATTTATATTCACCTTGATCTTCATCCCCGGTGCAGGAGTACCACATGAGCCAGCCTTACTTCTGCCGACTAAATCTACACAACAGGCCATCGTAACTTCTGTCAGTCCGTAGCCTTGCTTGATGAAATCAATACCAGTTCTGAAACATTAAAAACTTTAAATAACCAATTCCTCTACTTCTATTTCTGTATTACTTATGATCCCTACTAATATTATAATTGCGAAAGTAATTCTGTCTGTCTGTTATGCTTTCACGCCTAAACCACTGAAATGATTTTAATGAAATTTCATAAAGACTATCCTATGTTCTTTCTCAAGGTCAACTCTATAGTTGACCTTGAGAAAGAACATAGGATAGTTTTTATCCCAGACTTTTGAATGGTTCTCTTGGAAACGCGATATAACCGAACTCCACGCTGGCGAAGCTACGGGCGGAGAGCTAGTTATGTATAAAAGCTTGAAGTTTCTTTGTAAAGAATATTACTTAGTATGACCATACATATAATTATTTAATATACTAGTTTTCGTTAACAACTTTGTGCATTAGTTTCAGAATTAAAAATGTATAGCTGACTGAGCAAACTCTGTACCTCATTAAAGACAGTAAATAAGAAGATTTTGAGTTTTATCAACTTATTTTTTCTTTTGAAATCAAATAAAAAGTATACTATGTCCTTTTCTTAGTTTTAAGCTTTATGGCAGCCAATTTTCAACCGAACCCGAGTCATTCTTGAGTTATACTTATAAAAATTTCTTGAGTTATACTTATAGTGTAACTAACACAACTTTCTTTCATATATAAAAACTTATATACCTTTTAGCGACAAGCGTCTGTATTTCCTTGGACAGTGGAGCAGCTCCGCACCACATTTCATTCAACGAGCTCAGATCATACTTTGCTACCAGAGGATGTTTTGCAAGGAACACAGCGAGTGGTGGTACTATAGTGGTCATGTTTATCTGAAATATATATCAATAACTTTAGATATATACTTATGTTTACAAACTAGATGTAATTTATATTTTAAGAAGAATAATTTTGTATGTAATGTTTGATGTGTATAAAAATATATTGTTTAACTTATTTGTTATATAAAAAAAATTAAGATGTTTCTTTCAGCTTATCAATTGTCAATAATTGGATCAGAGTGTACAAATAGTGTATTGTTCTAAGCTTTTCATTAAAAATATACTCTGAACTTGTTGTCATCATAGCATTTATAACTGAGTGAATAATTATGGCGGTTTTATGCTTAAGCAATCAATTTGTACCATTTTATTCATTGGGAGGTTTATTATAGGTATAACAATTAATAGTAAGAAAAATACAAGAGTTCCCACCTTGTATTTCTGTATTGTTTCAAGAAATTGTTCCTCTTCAAATCTAACAAGAAATACGACCTCCACATGAAGGCACATAACGGCTAATGTTGTAATAAATCCATAAGCATGAAACCAAGGGATCAAAGACAGGGCTGTTATCACATTATGTTTCCTTTTCTCTTGAGACGTCTCCAAATAATATCTGAAAAATACAAAAATGATCAATAAAAAGTCATATAAATTTGAGATATTAATTATTAAGTTATACTGACTTCATATGAGCTGATAGTGTAAGAAAATTTACATGGGTTAACATAACACCCTTTGGTAAACCAGTTGTTCCCGATGAACACATAACGGCAACAGTATCTTCGGCTCCGTTCACATCTACCATAGTGAAATCATCTATATCACAGTGTTTCTTGACTAAATCATTGTAGAACACGGCGGGTACAATGTCATATTCACCAAGCAAAATCAAATTCTTCACAAACGTCAGATCCTTGCTGCAGTCGTACATGTTCTGTGCAGTGATCGGCGATGTGAAAATAAACTTCGGCTTTGTGATTTGGAATACATGGGAGATTTCACCTTAAAAATAATGTGAGTACATCTTATGAGATACTGGCAAAAAAAGTATAGATTTTAAATACATCTATATACATCTTTTTTAGCATTTCAGACATTACTTTCATAGTATTCAGTAGTCTTACCTGGCGAATATGTAACATTTAGAGTTGATAAAACTCCTCCAGCAAAGATTACAGCTAAAGAGGCAACGGTGAATTCAAAGCGATTTTCACAACTGAGCGACACTACATCACCCTTCTTTAAACCCAACTCCTGTAGAGCCACAGCCAAATTAACACTATTCTGAAGAATATTACGATAAGTAACAGATTCTCCAGTCTCCGCACTTATCTGAAATAAACTATCATTATTAATCACGTAAAAATTACTTATTATATTAATTGGTTTAAAAAAAAGTTATAGCAGTTCTGTTATTAAAATGATTTGATATATACTTACTTGCGCGATTTTATTTCCGCCCGCCTTTAATTTATCAAATAAAAACTGACCATAGGATAAATGGGCAGGTATAGGTACTTCTTCAGGACCTGAGACCACATTGTTATGAATCGAAACAGACATTTTTTTGAATTATTCAGTATATTTTAAATAATCAATAAAATTATTTACAGAAAGGACTTCGGAATCAGTGCGGATTATATGAAGTATAACAAATTAGCGGTTATCATATTAACAGTTGCGCAAATATGTGTGATAACATTTCTTGATAAAATTTTAATTATTAAGATAAATTACTAAGTACTAACACCGGTCGAAGGCAGACCATTTCCGACACATGACATGGGTGGGTAAATTTAAATTTATTGCGACATCAAACAGTCAAAGTCATTGTCATCTAGATTAGTTATTTAGAATTTCATAGATGAAAAATCATCACGACTATTAAGAAAAAATATAAAGATTAGATACATGAATTCTTTTGAAATTTAGAAGTACTTTGAATAAATATAATATTAAAATTTTATTATTATTACCATACATAATCATTTTTTTTGTGTACATTAGTTTAGCTTATAAAATATCTTCTATATATATAAAAATGGATTGCTGTTCCTTAGTCTCGCTAAAACTCGAGAACGGCTGAACCGATTTGGCTAATTTTAGTCTTGAAATACTCCTGGAAGTCCAGGGAAGGTTTAAAAGGTGAGAAAAATTGGAATAATTGCCGGGAAAACCCTAAAAACAGCCCTTTTCTATTTCCCATGCAAACGTTTTTTTTTGACGTTAGATTTGACAACTAACTAATATGTCAATCATTCTGTTTGATTGAAACAGGAAAATCCTGACTATTTATGGCCTCTAAGACGGAATAGAGTTCCCCTGGTCAGCTATACCTACATATATTACTCTTGACCAAACTAACGCGGACGAAGTCGCGGGGAAAAACTAGTATTAATATAAATAAATAGAAATAATATCGTTACGATGTTCGGGAATGTAGAGCGTGCTATTACTTTGAAATATGTATATATACTAGCTTCCGCCCGCGTGGAGTTTTGATAAAAAGTAGCTTATGTTCTTTTTCAGATTTCAGACTATCCATATCCAATTTTGTAACAAACGGCTCAGCATATTAGCCGTGAAACAAACATTTACACAGTTATAGTAAATTTGTTTGAATATTAAGGATTATAATATCGGTATAGATTTGGGTATAGCATTTGGTTAAAAGAAAGTAGATATGTTTAAAAAAAATAAAAAATATCTGTATACAGTAGGTAATAAGTATAAGGTATGTATTCCATTAAGTGGCAGAAAGTTCCCAGGAAAATTTAGTGGACCCTTATGTCCAAGAGACACTTCCCGGGGCCAGCGTCACGTTGTGTACAAAAATATTTTTAAATGACCTAATTTAAAACATTTTTGTGCACAATGTTTGCTGTTTGCTTATTATTTGTTAAAATGTGGAGATTGTTTGGACTCGACACTCGCGAGCAGGCCACGTCCAGTTGGCCATGCGAAAAACAGTTTTTCTCTAAATGGACACCTGCTACTTTAAGTGTTTGCCCTTGCGCTTTGTTAATGGTCATTGTGTAGGCAGGTTTGAGGAGAAACTGGATTCTCTTAAACTGAAAAGGTGAATCTGTAGGGATCGTGGGTATGCGGGGAATTAAAACTTCTTCATCTTTAGCTAGTCCTGTTATTATAATTGCTCTAATAATATTGCGTCCTAGCTGCGTAATTTGCAATCGAGTCCCGTTGCATAGTCTCGGCGCTCCGAGGTTTCTCATTAACAAAACTGGAACTCCAACTTTCAGTCTCAGCTTATGAACGGCACTCTTGACAGCTCTAAAGAGTTGAGAAACTCTGTAGGATAAGATGTCACCTGTTCACTGTCCATGACAATATCTACTGACAAATATTCGACAACATCGCCTTGCACATGCGACAGCGTTCGTTCATTGGTCTGTTCCACGATTCCATTGGTCGGTGCTAATATTGCCCTTTCACACAGCCACTCTCTATTCCTTATGTTACATTTCAAACTGGAATAGACGTTGTTTTTAAGGTCTTCAAAGTTGTGAACAGCATTACAAAATTCTTGATTTAATTTGGCCACGATCGCTGTTTTTTGTAATGTTACATACTGGAATTTCCTTATGAGGTAAATTTAATGGGAGTTTAAGTACTGAATGTGCCATGCGGCTTCCATCGAGCAGCGTCGCCGCAATCCCAGAGGAAGCTACGGCAACAGCTATTCCTTTGTCTTTTCGGATTTGGGCTAAAAGTAAATTTATTAAGTTTTCCTAGTGCCTCCTGGCGCATCTAATAAAAACAATCCGCCCTCACCATTATCGATTCTTTGCACAACAATATCACAAACTAATTTTTGTTCCGTATTCAATCGAGGAACAGACTGATATTTGTTGCTGTAAAAAAGAAACATTGTAGTCCAGTTCTCTTATTAAATCACTATTGAGTTCTCCGATTCCTTGTGGCCGGTTCATTCCAAAATCAGATAATGTCTTCCCAGATAAAACCATCACTTGGTCTTGAATCTTACTTAGCGCTTCGTTATATACTAAAGCATTATATGTGACGTTGGGATTATTTTGTTGTAGTCTGTGCAAAATATCGTCAGACATATCATTTTGGTACTTTTCCCATAATATTTGAGGATTTGAAAGACCACAAGTCGCTATAAGAATGGCAAAAAGATCTCTCACTCTCTTCTAATGTCGAGTCCCAATGATTATCATTTTCTAACTTTCCTTATAAGTTAATCCACTGTTAATAAATTAATCAACTGTTAATAAATTAATCAACTGTTAATAAGTTAATCCACTGTTAATAAATTAATGAACTGTTAGTAAATCCACTGTTAATAAATTAATCAACTGTTAACAAGTTAATCCACTGTTAATAAATTAATCAACTGTTAGCTAATCCACTGTTAATAAATTAATCAACTGTTAGTAAATCCACTGTTAATAAATTAATCAACTGTTAACAAGTTAATCCAATGTTAATAAATTAATCAACTGTTAGTAAATCCACTGTTAATAAATTAATCCACTGTTAATAAATTAATCAACTGTTAACAAGTTAATCCACTGTTAATAAATTAATCAACTGTTAGCTAATCCACTGTTAATAAATTAATCAACTGTTAACAAGTTAATCCACTGTTAATAAATTAATCAACTGTTAATAAATTAATCAACTGTTAATAAGTTAATCCACTGTTAATAAATTAATGAACTGTTAGTAAATCCACTGTTAATAAATTAATCCACTGTTAATAAATTAATCAACTGTTAACAAGTTAATCCACTGTTAATAAATTAATCAACTGTTAACAAGTTAATCCACTGTTAATAAATTAATCAACTGTTAGTAAATCCACTGTTAATAAATTAATCAACTGTTAGTAAATCCACTGTTAATAAGTTAATCAACTGTTAGTAAATCCACTGTTAATAAATTAATCAACTGTTAGTAAATCCACTGTTAATAAATTAATCAACTGTTAACAAGTTAATCCACTGTTAATAAATTAATCAACTGTTAGTAAATCCACTGTTAATAAATTAATCAACTGTTAGTAAATCCACTGTTAATAAGTTAATCAACTGTTAGTAAATCCACTGTTAATAAATTAATCAACTGTTAGTAAATCCACTGTTAATAAATTAATCAACTGTTAACAAGTTAATCCACTGTTAATAAATTAATCAACTGTTAGTAAATCCACTGTTAATAAATTAATCAACTGTTAACAAGTTAATCCAATGTTAATAAATTAATCAACTGTTAGTAAATCCACTGTTAATAAATTAATCAACTGTTAGTTAATCCACTGTTAATAAATTAATCAACTGTTAGTTAATCCACTGTTAATGAATTAATCAACTGTTAGTAAATCCACTGTTAATGAATTAATCAACTGTTAGTAAATCCACTGTTAATGAATTAATCAACTGTTAGTAAATCCACTGTTAATAAATTAATCAACTGTTAGTAAATCCACTGTTAATAAATTAATCAACTGTTAGTAAATCCACTATTAATAAATTAATCAACTGTTAGTTAATCCACTGTTAATAAATTAATCAACTGTTAGTAAATCCACTGTTAATAAATTAATCAACTGTTAGTAAATCCACTGTTAATAAATTAATCAACTGTTAGTAAATCCACTGTTAATAAATTAATCAACTGTTAGTAAATCCACTGTTAATAAGTTAATCAACTGTTAGTAAATCCACTGTTAATAAATTAATCAACTGTTAGTAAATCCACTGTTAATAAATTAATCAACTGTTAACAAGTTAATCCACTGTTAATAAATTAATCAACTGTTAGTAAATCCACTGTTAATAAATTAATCAACTGTTAGTTAATCCACTGTTAATAAATTAATCAACTGTTAGTAAATCCACTGTTAATAAATTAATCAACTGTTAGTAAATCCACTGTTAATAAATTAATCAACTGTTAGTAAATCCACTGTTAATAAATTAATCCACTGTTAATAAATTAATCAACTGTTAATAAGTTAATCCACTGTTAATAAATTAATCAACTGTTAACAAGTTGATCCACTGTTAATAAATTAATCAACTGTTAGTTAATCCACTGTTAATAAATTAATCAACTGTTAGTAAATCCACTGTTAATAAATTAATCAACTGTAAGTAAATCCACTGTTAATAAATTAATCAACTGTTAGTAAATCCACTGTTAATAAATTAATCAACTGTTAGTAAATCCACTGTTAATAAATTAATCAACTGTTAACAAGTTGATCCACTGTTAATAAATTAATCAACTGTTAACAAGTTAATCCAGTGTTAATAAATTAATCAACTGTTAGTAAATCCACTGTTAATAAATTTATTGATATTGTTACAAGAAGATTTCCAAAATTGCTACTTTCAGACAATGCTCTTCAGGCAATTTAACCTCGTCAGTAGTAGTTAAATATAGAAAATAGTTATACTTTTCATTCAAATATTACTTAAATTATTATTAATAACATGAAGTAACATATTTTACTTTGATCATGATAACAAACATTAGTATCAGAAATTGTTCCATCTTTATTTAGAAACAACTTC